AATAGTTTAGAAACATTTCAAACTACTTTCATAAAATTAATCAGAATGTTCAATGTCAACACTATATATCCTAGTGAACACTCCATCTCAATGAAAGTACATCCAATCATCATGTAAATTTACCATGTAAATTTACCAGATACATTTAATTACATTACTATATATCTTGTATCAATTTCACATTGTTAGAATAGAATTCAATACGATAATAATAACGAGGGTAATATGTATCCGTGTTATCCAGCCAACGCTGGATTGAAAGGATTTTGTCAGATGGGATCCACTATAAGTGGATCCCATCAAGACAAAGCCAGGATAAAATGGATAATGGATGGATAATTCCGATATAATCAGCTACAAATCTAATAGTTATATTAAGGAGAGATGTTACTGAGAAATTATCTATGAGAAATACTACAATATAAGAGGATGTAACTGTTCTAAATTATATAAGAATTAAGAAAAAAATGTTAGAAATGGATGATTTGATGGAACTATTGCAAAGCTCAATGGCTCTTGAGGATGATGAGCTTGAGAAAATCAAGTTGGCTCTTTATGAAAACGTTATAAGATTGTCAGAGCATTTGTTGGATGAAAATGAGGAGTCTTTGGAATTGATTGGCTTGAAGAGAAGAGTTGCAAGAAAGTTATTAGAATTGATTCAAGATCCCCTCAATAGTACAGCTCAAACAAGATCATCATCTATCGAAACATGCGCAGAAGATCCAAAAGAGATTAGTTTCAAAGAAAAATTGAAAAGGATTGAAGAAAATGAACATTATTGCAAAGTTCGTTTTGAGTATGTCAATACTTGCACAGTTTACGATCCAGTTATCGATAAGGTGATTAAATTGGGAGCTCCTTTCAAAATTTCAAATGTTAATACAAGAATCAAGCAATACAAAGGAGTTGTAAAATCTGCAAATATGAAATCTAGATTTGATTTAGCCAGAGAAATGGTAGAAATCTATCTTACCGACCATGATTTAGAGTTCATCAATTTTACAATTGACAGGGATTTGATGGAAAAAGGTAAAGAGTACGCATTGTTAAAGAAGGCAAATGAAAAAAAACGTAAGGCTCAATCCGATCAAGAAAAAGCAAAAAGAACCAAAGGTTTGTAATAAATTGTGATATGATTTTAATTAATGACAATAGAATTACAAGCGGTTCGAAATCAAAAGTTTAGTCTCAAACGAAGGTATGAAAGGTTATTGCAGGAAAGTTCGGAGAGAAATCTATTGAAAAACAACCTGTCTTCATCTCAACTCAAGTTATGCAAATCAATTGATTCATTAAAAACTCTAGTGAACAAATCAGAACATACTATGGAAGATATTATTAAGCTTGATTGGATTCGGAATTTATTCAAAGTTAAAAAACGATTTCCTCGAAACTATAA